AAGCCTGGGTCCATGACTCACTATGTGACTGAACCTCTATTAGCTTCTTCATGCATAAAATGAGAATAATACGATTGGGCCAGATGTGGTGGTTCATACTTGTAATTCCAACATTTTGGGAGGCTGAGATAGGACGATTGCTTGAAGCCAGGAGTTCAAGACCAGCCTGGGTAACATAGTGAGATCTTTTCTCTTAAAAAAAAAATTTTTGTTTTAATTAGCCAAACATAGTGGCATGACTTATAGTCCCAGCTACTCAGGAGGCTGAGATGGGAGGATCTCTTGAGCCCAGAAGTTCCAGATTATAGTGAGCTATGATTGGACCACTGCACCTGGGCCTGGGTGAAGAGGGAGACTCTGTCTCTAAAATAAATAAGTGAACACACAAACTCAATTGTCATAAACTCAACTGTATGTATGTATATATGCATGTATGTATCAACTCATGGATTGTTGATGGCACTCATGTTCCTAGTATCCTTTATCTATCTAAAAGCAGAGCAGAGCCCTCCAAAAAACCTCATTTGTCATAAATCTCCTCCCCTGGGGCAACTTAATCTCTTCTAGGATCACACCCAAACAGATATTGTTACAAAACTATCGCATCTCCTGTCTTTTCTCCTAAGGACCACCTTAATTTTCTAAAAAGTCACAAGTGCCCTTTCTTCTGCTCCCATTCTAAGAAGTCATTTGACCTACAAAATGTGCCCTTGTGTCCCTCTCCATCCCCATCTCCTATTGAGATGATATATGAACCACCCACCTTAAGTCACATTTTTTTTTTGCAAACTCCTATATGTACATATGTAATTAAATCTGATTTTTTGTCCTCTTGCTAATCTGCCTTTCATCAGTTTAAATTGCAGCCCTCTCCCCAAAGAATTTGAGAGGAGAGAAAATTATTCCTCCCCAATGGTAGTTACTAAAGAGTCTACTCTATTCAACATCACCATATGCTTACCCACTACAAACATTTAGACAAAAACTTAACAAGACATATTAGATCTACATCCATAAAACCACTTACGAACTTTTTTTTTTTTTTTTTTTTTTTGAGACTGGGTCTCACTCTGTCACTCAGGTTGGAGTGCAGTGGTGAGATCTGGGCTCACTGCAACCTCTGCCTCCCAGGCTCAAGCAATCCTCCCACCTCAGCCTCCCAAGTAGCTGGGACCACAGGCGTGTGCCACCAGGCCCAGCTAATTTTTTTGTATTTTTTTGGTAGAGACATGGTTTCACCATGTTGCCCAGGCTGTTCTTGAACTTCTGAGCTCAAGCGATCCACCTACCTTGGCCTCCCAAAGTGCTGGGATTACAGGTGTGAGCCACTGCATCCAGACCTATTTCACTTTCTGTATCTTTTACATCCTTTCAACAGCAGAAGTTCCACTTGAGTTTTACATAAATTCTAACTCCTTGTTGAGATTCTCTATTTGTTGAGTTATTGCTATAACCCTTTCCTTTAACTCTTTATACACAGTTCATTTAGTTCTTAGAACATATTTATAATAGCTGCTTTAAAATCCTTATCTGTAAAATTTAACATCTGGAGATAATCAGGTATGATTTCTTTCTTTTTTTTTTTTGACCTCTGAACTTTTTACTGGCCTCCTGCTCCCCAAAGGGTACTCTGCTTCTGCTGGCTTAATATCTCAGAACTTCGATGTTGTTGGTCTCAGACACCACTCTGCCATCCACTATCCTGCGGGAGGTGGTCTTCTGGATGGTTTGCCTGGAGTTGTTGCTGTCCAGGGCATCACCAAGACTGAAGTCCTCGTCATCTTCCAGCAGGTGACTGTAGGCGACGATCTCAGTCGCCAGCCTGACCTTGATGTTCAGCAGGGCCTCCTACTCCTGTCCCTCTGCCGGGTCTATTGCAGCTCTGACTCTAGGTGCAGCAGGATCCGGTTGAGCTGCTCCATCTGCAGGGTATAGCGGGCCTCCACCCCACTCAGGCTGTTCTCCAAGCTGGCCTTCAGATTCCTCATGGAGTCCAGGTCAATATCCAAGGACTGGACTGTACATCTCAGCTCCATGAGCATCAGCTCAGCAGCTCCAACCTCGGCAGACTGCATGGTGACCACTGTGGTGCTCTCCTCAATCTGCTGAGACCAGTACTTGTTCAGCTCCTCTTGGTTCTTCTGAGCCAGCTTGTCATACTGGGCCCAGATGTCTGCCATGATCTTGGTGAGATCCTGAGATTTGAGGGCATCTACCTCCACGATCAACCCAGAGCTGGCAATCTGTGCTTTTAGGCCTTTTACTTTCTCTTCGTGGTTTTTCTTCATGAAGAGCAGCCCCTCCTTGAGAGCCTCGATCTTTGTCTCCAGCTGCAGCCGTTGACACTGGTGTCATCAGTGACCTTGCAGAGCCCATGGATGTCACTCTCCACAGACTAGGGCATGGCCAGCTCTGTCTCATACTTGACTCTGAAGTCATCAGCAGCAAGATGGGCATTGTTGCTCTGCAGAATGATGCAGGCATTGTCCACAGTATTTGGGAAGATCTGAACCCTCAGGTCCTCAATGGTCTTGAAGTAAATGGCTCCAGTCTCTGACCTGGGGTCCCTTCTTCTCCAGGTACTCCCGGATTTTGCTCTCCAGCTTCTGGTTTCCAGTCTCCACACTCCTCACTCTGTCCAGTAGGAGGCCAGGCAGTCATCCAGGCTTTGCATGGTCTCTTTCTCGTTCTGGATGCCTCCCAGTTCTGCCAGGCCCCCAGCCATCCACACAGCCAGGCCCCTGGACCCCATGCTGCCCCGGAAGCTGGTGGAGTGGGACCTGGAGATCCGGGAACCGGAGCCCCCGGTGCCTGCATAGATGCTGGCCACCCTGCTGACTGGTTGGGTGCCATAGCTGGGCACTTGGACAAAGCCCAGAGACCAGTAGTTGGTAGAGAACGTGGAGCTAGTGGTGAAGCTCATGCTGTCCAGAAGGGAGAGCAAGAGGACAGGACTCAGGCTTTGCCGAAGACCAATCAGGTATGATTTCTATTGTCTGCCTTTTTCTCACTGCTACAATTTCCTGTTTCTTGGCATGTGTCATAATTTTATATTTAAAAATAGACATTTTATATAATACAGTATAACATTACTCTGGATTCTATGAAATCTGTCTTCTTCCACAATTTGCAATTGCTGATTTCTCTGTTCAGTTTTATTATTTCTTTTATTCTTGCATTACTTTAAAGCCTGACTTTCAGGGTCTGGTCATGTTATCTATGTATCTTAGTGGGCAGCCAACTATTCAACAGAGGATTCACTCAAATACCCCAGGTCAACAAAAGTTGTTTTCCTTTGCCAAAGGATCTGCACATCTACCCAGATTTTTCTTCCCCCTCGACCCTTTTTCATGGCTCCTCTGCATATGCATGAAGCCTCAGCTAGCCATTATCTTAGGCTGAAAGAGCCGCTGGCTCTCAAAGCACACATGCCATCAAGACAGCAATTTCCGCAGACAGTGCTGGCAGGCATATGCAATAACTGCCACTCAGAGATGAGTGAAAATTTTCCAAGCACAGCAGGTAAGGTACTAGTCCTCAAAACCCTTCTCACCCTGGAATACCCTCTATAACCAACCAAACTTGGAAGAGAGAAAGTGTGGAGTGGGATGGGAGTAGCTGCAGGCATGAATGCCACAGATTTCCACTGCTGTTGTGCGAGATGAGCAGTTTCTCAAGCTTAAACACTTTTCAGATTATTGTATGTTTTTGGTTGAGTTTCAGAGCACTGCAATAGTTGTTTTCACTTGTTTTGCAGATGGCATTAAATCTAAGTCACAAACTCTTTTTTTTGTTTTTTTTTTGAGACAGAGTCTCACTGTCACCCAGGCTGGAGTACAGTGATGCACCACAACCTCTGCCTCCCGGGTGGTTCAAGCAATTCTCGTGCCTCAGCCTTCCGAGTAGTTAGGATTACAGGCACAAGCCACCACACTGGGCTAATTTTTGTACTTTTAGTAGAGACAGGGTTTCGCCTTGTTGGCAAGGCTGGTCTCGATCTCCTGACCTCAAGTGATCTGCCTGCCTCAGCCTCCCAAAGTGCTGGGATTATAGGCGTGAGCCACCATGCCCAGCCCACAAACTCTTAGCATTCTTAAATGTATTTATTTCAGTTTCTCTTTCACTACTATATTATAACCTACTCTGGCAGTCCTTCTCATCTGCTGCAATATTTCTCATTCCTTAAGATCTAACCTACGCTGCTCCTTCTCCATAAGGTTTTTTCTCATTAATTCATGCACATTGATCTCTCCCTTCTCTGAATTCCTGTCATACATCATTATTTCATAATTATTTTGCATGTGTTGTACTTTTTCTTTTCAGCCACATTCCTAAGTCTCTGGGGAAAGAAATTAGGCTTTCATGATTTTGTATCCTTATCTTATACCTGGCAAAGTGCTGAGTATACAGTAAATTCTCAAAGGCTGTATGTCTTCTTCAATCCAAAAATTTACACTTGAAGAAATTTGTCTTATAGCCTATGAGGTCAAACTCTACCATTAGGAAACAATAATCAAGACTCCAAGACCTAACCATGTTATATTATTAACACGTTCTTCCCTTCTCCAATGCCACATGATCTGAAGTGCACACTATTTACTGAAAGCATGGGGCAGAGACTGCTAGTAGCCAACCTAATATCCATTTTGATCATTTTCCTTACTAACAAAACCATAATCATTCCTAGCTTTCCTTGCAGCCAGAAGTTCAATTAGAGGGAATGCACTAACTAGAAATATATTTGTATCTGTTCACAGTATTGTGGTAAGAAACAAAAAAGAAAATTCATGCAGCACCTTTAGAATAGTATCAGTCACATGCTATAGCATCAATAAATGTCATTTACTGTTAGAAACCTTAACTATGTTTTACTTCCTTCTTCTTCTCTCCTATGAGAGCTTAGTCTTATGGTTACAAAGGTTTTATAACATCAAAGTTCTCCGTCTGGAATAATACAAATTTGTAATAGGTGATGCAAAGAATTTTTAAAATTTCCTTACCCAGAAGATCCAATGCTCTTACAAACACCAAGGAGGGGTCTTTTTTCAGCAAAGTTATCACATTTTTGAGCACCTGACAGGGAGGATAAAATAAATTGTAAGCTTTGAGGAATATTATTGTCTAATTGCCACTATTTTCATGCTTTCAAAATACTTGAGAAGGAGAAGTATTCATTAAAAGTTGATCTAATTTATACAATTGAATAAAAAGAAGAAAAGTTACTATATAAAATCATTATATATTATATATATGTACTCATTTTAAAAATTGAACCAGCAAATTTTTTTTTTTTTTTGAGACAGAGTCTCACTCTGTCACCCAGGCTGGAGTGCAATGGCATGATCTCAGCTCACTGCAACCTCTGCCTCCTGGGTTCAAATGATTCTCCTGCCTCAGCCTTCTGAGCAGTTGGGAGTACAGTCACGTACCACCATGCCTGGCTAATTTTTGTATTTTTAGTAGAGACACGGTTTCACCATGTTGGCCAGCCTGGTCTCATACTCCTGACCTCAGGTGATCCACCCGCCTCAACCTCCCAAAGTGCTACAATTACAGGCATAAGCCACCATAGCTGGCCTGAATCAGCAATTTTTTAATGTTTTATTGGCACCAATTTCAATCTTATACACCTTCCCCATGAGATCAGAAAACCATCCCATACCCCACCAACTATTTACATAAAACTAGTATAATATAGATGTCCAAACTAAATAAAGGTAGTTCAAGACAAGAAAATTATAAAATTATAGGTCATTCCCATTGATACACATAGTTGCAAAAATCCTAAACAAAATATCAGCAAACTAAATAGCAACATATATGAAAAAAATAAATTCTCATAACCGAATTAGATTTACCCAAGCAACAGTAATAGTTTGGCATTATAAAATATATTAACGTAATTAATCATGTTAATATTTCAGCAGACGCAGAAAAAGCATTCAATTAGACTCTATATCTAATCATAAGAATAAAAAATATAACAAAAATACCTTTTTTAACCTAATAATGATCATCTACAAAAGATCTACAGCAAATGTCACAGGTAATGGTTCAGAGTTTTCCTAGTAACAGCAGTAACAACACAAGAATATCCATAGTTGCAGCTCCCATCAAGTCCTAAGTACACATAATAATAATAATAAGTGAACTCAACAATATTACAGGATACAAGACCAATATAATACGAACAAGAAGCAAAAAAAGTAAAGTCAGGAAATATAAATGGTTCTGAATCATATGAAAAGGTGCTCTGTGTCTGCTCACGCCTGTACTCCCAACACTTTGGGAGGCTGAGGCAGAAGGATCACTTGAGACAGGGCAAAACTCTGTATCTACAAAAAATAAAAACAAAAAATTAGTTGGGTATGGTGGCACACACCTGTAGCCCTAGCTACTCAGGAGGCTGAAGTAAGAGGACCTTACTACAACTGTGCCACTGCATTCCAGCCTGGATGACAGAGCAAGAATCTGTCTCATTAAAAAAAAAAAAGATAAAGAAGTTTAATGTTGAACCTCACACATGACAGAGGTTCCTTAAAACTATATTGATAATGAAAACTATAATGATGATATTGATAATGATAATGATATAATGATAACTATATTGATAATGATAAGGAGTTCAGGACAAATCACCCCAAAATATGCCTCTTTGGCATATTGATTATTTTGAGCTAAAGGCATTTGAAAAACAGTAGATGTAAGAAAGACACTCTGACTGGCTCTTTGATTCCTGAAAGGAAGCCCCCAAGTGAAAGATGACCTTCCTACACACCAGGAAGGAACATTTTAACCACCAGAGATGTGAAGGCCAGGATGAAAGAAATCTGTATAAATGAACATTGTTAAACTAGCCCTTATCTTCCCAGATACTTTTCCATAAATGTCATTCTTTGTTCAACCTAGCATGTAAGAACTTAGGCCGAAGCTGGGCATGATGGCTCATGCCTGTAATTCCAGCACTTTGGGAGGCCGAGGCGGGTGGATCACTTTGGGAGGCCAAGGTCAGGAGCGCGAGATCAGTCTGGCCAACATGGTGAAACCCCATCTCTAGTTTAAATATATATATATATATATGCCAGGCGTGGTGGCGGGCGCTGTAATCCCAGCCCCGCGGAAGGCTGAGGCAGGAGAATAGCTTGAATCCGGGAGGCAGAGGTTACAGTGAGCCAAGATCATGCCAACGCTTGTACTCCGTCCTGGGGGACAGAGCAAGAGCAAGGCTCCATATCAAAAAACAAAAACAAAAAAAAGAGCTTAGGCTGAGCCACTTCTCTTTTTTTTTTTTTTTTTGAGATGGAGTCTTGCTCTGTCACCCAGGCTGGAGTGCCATGGCAGATTTGGGCTCTCTGCAACCTCCGCCTCCCAGGTTCGAACTATTCTCCTGCCTCAGCCTCCCGAGTAGCTGGGATTACAAGCGCATGCCGCCACGCCCAGCTAATTTTTTGTATTTTAGTAGAGCCGGGGTTTCACCATATTGCCCAGGCTGGTCTCGAACTCCTGAGTTCAGGCAATTCGCTCGCCTCGGGCTCCCAAAGTGCTGGGATTACAGGTGTGAGCCACGGTGCCTGGCCGCCACTTCCTTAAGTCTTCATTTCTCTGTTCGGACACATATGTACATGTAAATTTTATGAAATAAAAATTTGTATGCTTTTCTCCTGTTAATTTCTCTTATGTCAGTTTAATTTTTTGGCCCAGCCAGAAACCCTGAGAGGTTAGAGAAGTTTTCCTCCCCTACAATACTATGGTTACATTTTTAAGATACCTAATCTTTTAGAAATAAGTAAGGAAATGTTAACCAATAAACTGATACGACATCTGGGAAGGGTTCAAAATAATCTGGAGGGAAGGAAATAAATGCTAATGAAACAAGAATAGTCATAAAATGATGACTGGTGGATTCCTTAGGGATCATCACACTATTCACACTGTCTTGAAATAAGTCAGAAATTTTCTACTTAAAAATTTATAACTACATATATTTATATACATATATTTATATATTATAACTATATATCTTTAAAACTGTGTGTGTATGTGTGTGTGTGTATTCACTTAAGCCTGCTAAGTCAGACTGATGACTGATTTAGCAGTCCTAAGTAAAAGTGCAAGGTAGTGCTTAGGGGAAAAAAAAAACTGACACTCAAATTAGTTTACATCACAGGATCTTTAAAAGCCACAATAATTGATAATACCAGGTACTAAATGTGACAGGAGATGAAGCTAAAATAAAAAGGACTATATAACTAAATTTAACTATGTACATTGACACTTATTTAAGAGCTCCTCAAAAAAATCCAAAAATTTGATAAAATTTTCTCACCATAGTAATCAAAATTGAAATACAAATACCCCTTAATCCGATAAGTCACTGCTAGAAGTTCATCCTACACATATACTCAGACATGAGAGAAATAACTTGTATATAAGATTATTCACAACGGCATTGTTTATAATAGCAAGAATGGAAAACTTCAAGTTATAATGGAATATTTCCTACCACTGCAAAACAAGAGAATGAATTACTCTGTAAAAACATGGAATGGAAAAGAAGATATTAAGTGGAAAAAAGGAATACATACAACAATAGGACGATACAGAATAATAAACTACCTTTTTTTGTGTGTGTGTGTGTGTGTGTGTGTGTGTGTGTGTGTGTGTGTTTTGAGATAGAGTCTCCCCAAGGCTGGAGTGGAATGGCATGATCTCAGTTCACTGCAACCTCCGCCTCCCAGATTCAAATGATTCTCCTGCCTCAGCCTCCAGAGTAGCTGGGATTACAGGCACCTGCCACCATGCCCAACTATTTTTTGTATTTTCAGTAGAGATGGGGTTTCACCATGTTGGCCAGGCTGGTCTCGACCTCCTGGCCTCATGATCCACCCGCCTTGGCCTCCCAAAGTGCTGGGATTACAGGCATGAGCCACCAGGCCCAGCCGATATGCTACCTTTTTTGTATAAAGAAGAGAAAAAAAGACTTGCATATACACACACATATACAAACTCTAGTAGGATACATAAAAATCCTAATAGTGGTCGGGCACGGTGGTTCATGCCTGTAATCCCAACACTCTGGGAGGCCGTGGTGGGTGGATCAGGAGTTCGAGACCAGCTTGACCAACATGGAGAAATCCTGTCTCTACTAAAAATACAAAAAATTAGCCAGTGGTGGTGCATGCCTGTAATCCCAGCTACTCGGGAGGCTGAGGCAGCAGAATCGCTTAAACCCGGGAGGCAGAGGTTGTGGTGAGCCGAGATCATGCCATTGCACTCCAGCCTGGGCAACAAGAGTGAAACTCCGTCTCAAAAAAAAAAAAATCTTAGTAGCCACTTATAAGAGGAAAAAGGAGAAAAAAATGAAAGATAGAAAAAACTTTTCAATATACTTTATGCTTTTTCATTTTCAAACCATGTGAATATACAAATTTCCCCAAAATTTTTCCCTTGTTTTTAAATAGAAGGCAATGCCAGAAGAAACAACTAAATGGTTGTTTCAACTTCTGAGTTAAGATGGTAGACTGCAGCACTTTGGGAGGCTGAGACAGGCGGATCACGAGGTCAGGAAATCAAGACCATCCTGGCTAAGACGGTGAAACCCCGTCTCTTACTAAAAATACAAAACATCTAGCCAGGCAAGGTGGCGGGTGCCTATAGTCCCAGCTACTTGGGAGCTGAGGCAGGAGAATGGCGCAAACCCGGGAGGCGGAGCTTGCAGTGAGCTGAGATCCGGCCACTGCCACTCCAGCCTGGACAACAGAGCGAGACTCCATCTCAAAAAAAAAAAAAAAAAAAGATGGTAGACTGAAGACATGAATTTCATTTTATACCTTCAGAAAATGCTAGGAAAAAAAATTAAATTAAATGTACTTTAAAAACATATAATCCCAACAAGTTTTGGAAACAGATGACTGATGACTGACTTAGCAATCTTAAGTAAAAGTTCAAGGTAGTGCATGGGGTGAAAACCTGACACCCGAAGTACTTTACATTGAAGAATCTTTAAAAGGCACAATAACTGATAATACCAGGTACTGGATTTGATGGGAGACGAAGCTAAAATAAAGAAGACT